AAAGTAAGTCGGTCTTTAAAATCCCTGACATGGAATGTGGAAGGAGAAGCAATGATTGCCAAAGATTTGCAAAAACAACTAAATTGTGCTGCCCGAAACATAGTCTGGTAGAGAAATGTAGCTACGTTCTTTTGCTCCTTTGGGACTTGAAAGGATTGCGTAAAACTTTAAACTCGGCACCTTAACACTCTAGTGTCTGTAATATTATACCCAAAGGATTGCGTAAAACTTTAAACTCGGCACCTTAACACTCTAGTGTCTGTAATATTATAACCAAAGGATTGCGTAAAACTTTAAACTCGGCACCTTAACACTCTAGTGTCTGTAATATTATACCCAAAAGATTAAGTAAAACTTTAAACTCCGTACCGTAACACTCTAGTATCTGTGATATTATACCCAAAGGATTAAGTAAAACTTTAAACTTCGTACAGCAACACTCTAGTATCTGTGATTTTGTACCCAAAGGATTAAGTAAAACTTTAAACTCCGTACGCAACCCTGTAATGTGTGTGATTTTGTACCCAAAGGATTAAGTAAAACTTTAAACTCCGTACGCAACCCTGTAATGTGTGTGATTTTATACCCAAAGGATTAAGTAAAACTTTAAACTCCGTACGCAACCCTGTAATGTGTGTGATTTTGTACCCAAAGGATTAAGTAAAACTTTAAACTCGGCACAATAACACTCTAGTATCTGTAAAATTATACCCAAAGGATTAAGTAAAACTTTAAACTCCGTACGCAACCCTGTAATGTGTGTGATTTTGTACCCAAAGGATTAAGTAAAACTTTAAACTCGGCACCGTAACACTCTAGTATCTGTAAAATTATACCCAAAGGATTAAGTAAAACTTTAAACTCGGCACCGTAACACTCTAGTATCTGTAAAATTATACCCAAAGGATTAAGTAAAACTTTAAACTCGGCACCGTAACACTCTAGTATCTGTAAAATTATACCCAAAGGATTAAGTAAAACTTTAAACTCGGCACCGTAACACTCTAGTATCTGTAAAATTATACCCAAAGGATTAAGTAAAACTTTAAACTCGGCACCGTAACACTCTAGTATCTGTAAAATTATACCCAAAGGATTAAGTAAAACTTTAAACTCCGTATGCAACCCTGTAATGTGTGTGATTTTGTACCCAAAGGATTAAGTAAAACTTTAAACTCCGTACGCAACCCTGTAATGTGTGTGATTTTGTACCCAAAGGATTAAGTAAAACTTTAAACTCGGCACCGTAACACTCTAGTATCTGTAATATTATACCCAAAGGATTGCGTAAAACTTTAAACTCGGCACCGCAACACTAGTATCTGTGATATTATACCCAAAAGATTAAGTAAAACTTGAAACTCCGTACCGTAACACTCTAGTGTCTGTGATTTTGTATGGTTGTATGTGGATGAGTCGTTCATCATCCAACCAAACGACCAGCACTTCCTGTCTGACGATGACGTCATTGACTGTGTCGGTAGAAAGAAGCGTAAAGCCAAGCTGTATAAGAAAACACACGATTGGTTAAGGTTAAGGCAGGGGTTTCGAGCATAGTTTTACCAAGTAGATTACAACCAGCTATAGAACATCCTACACAGATAATGTTAGTGCTAACTTTAGTGAAGATTAGGATTCGAATTCCAACAAAGATTATGTAGCTAGATAAAGCTGGTATGTTACATAATTACAATTAACTAAACTAAACGTGCTTACAAGTCATAAAATTATAATATAATAGTTTGAGACGGTGTGAGAATATTTACGTTCTCAAGAGCTGGAATGGCCACTGGTACAACTTTGATCTCAATGACGTCTTGTGGACAGGCGGGGTCAAGCCGACCTGGGTCCCCACTGTTGCTGAATACCCCAGTGGCTAGCTTGAAGAAGGTGTCAAGTATAGGAGAGTTGCATTCTGGGGAAACACCAGCATCAGATAAACAACTACTAGCTGTTGTGATTGTGTTATTTAGGCTTTTTAAAATATTTTTTTAACTATTGGTTTTTTTTATATTTTTCAAGTGAAAAGTCCATTTTTTTTGTATTACAATCAAACGAAGTTGAATTTCATCAGCTTAGGGGAACACTATTTTCCCAAAATTACTATAACTTTTAACTAAAGCTTGATGTCAGTTACATATGCAACATGTTACTACTTATGAATCACAAACGATTAAAGTATTTCTTTTCATTCTAGACTTATGGTCCTATTTATTTGTAACTTATGTTTCTAAAAAAAAACATTTCAAAGTGTCTGTTGTATACTGTTATTAGAAGTTTTTTCAACTACATGTAGGCTATGTTGCTATTTGGAGGTATTCTAGCTATTTGTTGTTTATACTGTTATTTATTATATTCTGTCTACTATTGGTACAGAAAGATAAAAATAAATGCTCTGCAGCAGCTACTAGAGTACGTTTTTTTACAACTAGTTTCATTCAATTAATTGTCTACAATTTGCTGCCAAATATAATTAGTATTTACTTACGTAGACATAGCAGAGGCGAAACGAAAAAGGAAACGGAAATGGAAATAGCCAACAGAAGCATAGTTGACCCTCCTGTCTGTTACTGGACACCCTAGTAGCTGGACGGAAGATGTTCAGTACAGGAGAACTGCATTCTGGGTACACATCGTCATCAAATAAACCAACACAGAAAGAAACGGAATTTTGAAAACGTCATTCTGATTTTTTTGCAGTCTTTTAAAATGTTTTATTAACTGTAATTGTAAAGCGTACGGAGATGATCAAGTAACAACACACAATGTAAGTTAACACAACTGTACATAAAGATTTACACACATTTTGTGAATGATACACATAAGGGACAACAACTACACATATAATAACCACGTTAACAAGGGGCACACAAAAAACTTAAGAAACACAGTAAAAACATTATGAACATACACACACTGACGTGTTGTTACAGTTAACGATTGACGTTAATTAGACGTATGATGAGACAATAAAGGACGTTTAATAACATACAACACGTTCAGAACAAGGCAACCATTACATCACATTAACCAGCGGTCGAAAATCTGCGGTTTAATTTGATGTCAATATGCAGCTCTCAAGTTACATAATAATTATATTTTATTTTCAAAACTAAAAAAAATATTATACTGTAAACACAAAAACAACTTTAAGCAAAATAAAAAAACAAACAATGAGAATAGGTAAAGTAGAGCGTATATGAACAGCTGACAGCCGCTAGGCATTAGACCCAACTCCACAACTGTGTTGTAGCCAGGGGGTGATCCATAAATGACGTCACACTCGTAGGGGGGAGGGGGGGTCCGTACTTTTGTGACGATGTGTGATGAGAGGGAGGGGGGGGGGGGTCAGATGTTGCGACGTCACATTTTTGCATTATAAAAAAGCAATGTTAGAAAACGAATTTTAGACGTTATTTTGCGTTTTAGATAACTGTTTTAATAAATTGTAATAGTTTAGATAAGATTTTGGAAAAATATCGATGTTTGAAAAAAAAATTCAACTGCAATTTTGAGGAGGGGTTGTAGGTTAAGGTGTGACGTCATTTTAGGGGGGGGGGGTCCTGACTTTTTGTGACGAAGTGTGACGGAGGGGAGGGGGGGGGAGGTACAAATCGTCAAAAAAGCGTGACGTCATTTATGGATGACCCCCAGCCCCGTGGCAATGGTTCATGCTTTTCATTACCAAGTGCGCATAAAAATGTTAGCGGCTCTTTGAAAATTGTGAAATTCTGTAGATTGTAATTTTTGGCTCTTTCGTCTCAAAAGGTTGCCGACCCTTGTATTAATCCATGCATCCATACACTACAACATAGTAAACATGTAATCATATGAACCTTACACACACCCGAACCTCACACCACCCCACACACAAACTCAGTTCAAACTTATTTAATAAACAATATCATATCTTACTTTCACCATAACTTACCCCATTACTGCTAAACACAACACATTATTGTACTATACCAATCATATAGGCCTACCTCATTACTTTTACCCACATTATGTTGTACTTTACCAATCACATAGGCCTACCTCATTAATTTTACCCACATTATGTTGTACTTTACCAATCATATAGGCCTACCTCATTAATTTTACCCACATTATGTTGTACTTTACCAATCATATAGGCCTACCTCATTAATTTTACCCACATTATGTTGTACTTTACCAATCATATAGGCCTACCTCATTAATTTTACCCACATTATGTTGTACTTTACCAATCATATAGGCCTACCTCATTAATTTTACCCACATTATGTTGTACTTTACCAATCATATAGGCCTACCTCATTAATTTTACCCACATTATGTTGTACTTTACCAATCATATAGGCCTACCTCATTAATTTTACCCACATTATGTTGTACTTTACCAATCATATAGGCCTACCTCATTAATTTTACCCACATTATGTTGTACTTTACCAATCATATAGGCCTACCTCATTAATTTTACCCACATTATGTTGTATTTTACCAATCATATAGGCCTACCTCATTAATTTTACCCACATTATGTTGTACTTTACCAATCATATAGGCCTACCTCATTAATTTTACCCACATTATGTTGTACTTTACCAATCATATAGGCCTACCTCAGTACTTTTACCCACAATATGTTGTTGTACTTTCAAACCCCAACCGCTTGTACTTTCCCTAACTACGACATACATCAAAGCTAGGCCCTGAGTTCAGAAACCTAACTTGAGATTTTTTTTTGGCTTAGCAATCATCCGATCTACCGCTGCCCAAGTATGACTACGAAGCTGGTGTCGTACCCATGGAGATGGATATTTGCATTTATTACAGCTGCTTTCCCAACATATGCAGAAAAAATGTATTTATTTTTCAATCAACATTTATTCATCCAAAAAAAAAAGTAAATTATCAGTGTATAACACATCAAGGTAATTTTTATGTTTATTCTCTTAATCAGATTAAGCTACTAAACATCGAGATAATGCAAAATACAGCTCAACCATTATTTTTTAACTAAATACTAAACGATGCCGAATATTTATACTCTATCTGTAGTTGAGCAGGTCAGGACGCCGGGCAGTTACATGGATCCCCACCCCCGTGGTTGTTGTAGACCATGTTTGGGGGGAGGGGGAATCTGAAAAAATATATTGAAGCAAAAAAAACAGTATTAATATTTTTTTAAACAACTACTTTTTCACAATGAAACTGACCTAGCTATATAGAAATTAACTTTACAAAGTATATACCAACACTCGTCTTGTAACATACGCCACACACTAACCTCTACACTAGTCTTTTAACTCTGACAAGCTCACTCTAACTTCTTCGATGGTCTTGTAACATACCATGTAAAACACCCACTAACTTCTACACTAGCCTTGTAACATATACCATACACTGACCTTTTCACTGGTCTTGTAACATATGCCACACAATGAGCCCTATACTGACCTTGTAACATATACACTACATTGACCTCTACACTAGCCTTGTAACATTCACCACACAATGAGCACTATACTGGCCATGTAACACCAAAAAGATTTACTCTGACACTGACCTCTCTTTTAACCAGATGACATAGGGAAAGTTGCAAGGTTTCTCATGGAAAAGATCCAGCACAGACACGAACGATAGGGCATTACAGCTGAGGCTGATCGTGTAAGTCGCCAACTCCTGGAAGAGAAATATATGTAGAAAAATATATATAGTAGACGACTATGTTTCCCATTGGAAAAAGGTCTGCCTGTTGAAGCATATTTTTCCCAAAATCCCAAACATGTCTGCGATCCCCCCTGCTAAACACATAGGTATATTTAACGCAAACTCTCAATCTACTCAGCAAAGCGAAGCAGCTTGTAAACAGTTTTATCGATACAATTACAAAGAAATTAACGTTTACTTATTTAAACATATCTTGCTCACTATGACGTTAAAACTGGATACACTAAAATGTTAAAATGGCTTTACCAAGACTGTAAACAAGTCACACAAAGACGTTGAACTGAGCCTTCTAAGACGTTGAACTCACCCCACCATAGTGCCCAGTACAGTCCGGCCAGGCTGCTACGAAATTATTGGACTCTATAGCTCTGTAGATGACCTCACACTCGCTCCTTGTTTGAAAAGATCCAACGCCAAGGGCTGAGAGTAATGTACGGTTAACTTGACCACCCCTAGATGGAAAATATAATAAACACAGCTTTTAATATAAGGGATCCAACTAGATTACAGAAGTCTAAATCCGCTACATCATCCACCTATATGTACCACATCATCCATCCCCCATTATGTACCACATCATCCACATATATGTACCACATCATCCACCTATATGTACCACACCATCCCCCCTAAATGTACCACATCATCCATCCCTTATATGTACCACATCATCCACCTATATGTACCACATCATCCATCCCTTATATGTACCACATCATCCACCTCTATGTACCACATCATCCACCTATATGTAACACATCATCCAACTATATGTACCACATCATCCATCCCCTATATGTACCACATCATCCACCTATATGTACCACATCATCCACCTATATGTACCACACCATCCCCCCTAAATGTACCACATCATCCATCCCTTATATGTACCACATCATCCACCTCTATGTACCACATCATCCACCTATATGTAACACATCATCCAACTATATGTACCACATCATCCACCTATATGTACCACACCATCCCCCCTACATGTACCACGTCATCCAACTATATGTACCACATCATCCACCTATATGTACCAAATCATCCACTTATATGTACCACATCATCCACCTATATGTACCACATCAACCACCTATATGTACCACACCATCCACCTATATGTAACACACCATCCAGCTATATGTACTACATCAACCACTTACTGCACCACATCATCCACCTATATGTACCACATCATCCACCTATATGTACCACATCATCCACCTATATGTAACACACCATCTACCTATATGTACCACTTCATCCATCCCCCTATATGTACCACATCATCCACCTATATGTACCACATCATCCCCCTATATGTACCACATCATCCACCTATATGTACCACATCATCCACCTATATGTACCACATCATCCAGCTATATGTACCACATCATCCAGCTATATGTACCACATCATCCACCTATATGTACCACATCATCCACCTATATGTACCACATCATCCACCTATATGTACCACTTCATCCATCCCCCTATATGTACCACATCATCCACCTATATGTACCACATCATCCACCTATATGTACCACTTCATCCATCCACCTATATGTACCACATCATCCAGCTATATGTACCACACCATCCCCCCTCTATGTACCACATCATCCACCTATATGTACCACATCATCCACCTATATGTACCACATCATCCACCTATATGTACCACTTCATCCATCCCCCTATATGTACCACACCATCCCCCCTATATGTACCACATCATCCACCTATATGTACCACATCATCCACCTATATGTACCACTTCATCCATCCACCTATATGTACCACATCATCCAGCTATATGTACCACACCATCCCCCCTCTATGTACCACATCATCCACCTATATGTACCACATCATCCACCTATATGTACCACATCATCCACCTATATGTACCACATCATCCACCTATATGTACCACTTCATCCATCCACCTATATGTACCACATCATCCAGCTATATGTACCACACCATCCCCCCTCTATGTACCACATCATCCACCTATATGTACCACATCATCCACCTATATGTACCACATCATCCACCTATATGTACCACACCATCCACCTATATGTACCACTTCATCCATCCACCTATATGTACCACATCATCCACCTATATGTACCACACCATCCACCTATATGTACCGCATCATCCACCTATATGTACCACATCATCCACCTATATGTACCACACCATCTACCTATATGTACCACATCATCCACCTATATGTACCACATCATCTACCTATATGTACCACATCATCCACCTACATGTACCACATCATCCCCCGATAAATACCACATCATCTACATATATGTACCACATCATCCATCTATATGTACTACATCATCCACCTATATGTACCACATCATCCACCTATATGTACCACACCATCTACCTATATGTACCACATCATCCACCTATATGTACCACATCATCTACCTATATGTACCACATCATCCACCTACATGTACCACATCATCCCCCGATAAATACCACATCATCTACATATATGTACCACATCATCCATCTATATGTACTACATCATCCACCTATATGTACCACATCTTCCACTTACTGCACCACAGTGTTGTCTGTGATGTTGTATGGCTGTAGATGGATGACTCTATCCACATCCAACTTGACAGTGAGCACCTCCAGTCTATAAATAGCTCCATTCACTCTCTCAGTAAACAAGATTGTAAACCCGCCCTGTAAAACAATTGGTAGGTTTGTTGTGAGCTATAAATAGACATTTAAAGAATAATGATTTTATTATGATACGGCTTGTGAACTTTGTTCAATAAATATAATTTCCTTTTTATATAAACGTGTTGAGTTTTTTCGAGTCAGATGAGCAGGATAAAAACACTCCATACGTTGTTCGTTGTTTAGGAAAAAAAGTCGATGGAAACCTGTCATCACTCTGATTCAACTCAGTCAATTTTTTGTTAGATTTCTACCTGGCTAACGTTATGTAGAGCTGAGCCTAGTTCTGACCACAGTATGTATTTACAGTTCACGAAAACAGGTGGGCTCTACTTCACCTGATCATCAGGTCCAAAATGTTACGTTTTTCTTTCTTTTTTTTTTAGAGGAGCGGATGGTGGTGATCCGATTTAATTCCGAACCTAAGTGACAATGGGAAAATGTGTGTGTGTGTGTTTGTGTGAAAAGGAAAATGAGGTGATAAAATCAGCAAAAAAAAGCCACACAAACATGGGAAAAGGAAAAAAATTAGTAAACTAAGGTAAAAAAAGTTCCAGCCAAACCGTAAAGTTCTCCAGGGATTCGATGTGCACTGGCAAAAATTCAGCCTCAATCAAATCCTGTGGACAGTCTGGGTCAAGCCTCCCAGGGTCACCGCTGTTGCTGAAAGTTCCACTCAACAGTTGAAAGAACGTGCCCAGGATCGGTGACTGGCATTCTAAAGACGGTACTCAGTTTAATATAAATAGTTATTAGAGGGTCATGACAGAGTTATTGTCTGGTGTAGAAAATAACTGACTTAACAAAGAAAGCAATAACAGATACCTGATTATAAGGCCAAACAGGAAAATCATTCTCAGTTTAATATCAAGGGTTATGAGAGGGTACTAATAGAGTTATTGTCTGGTGTAGAAAATAACTCACTTAACAAAAAAGCAATAACATATACCTGATTATAACGCCAAACAAGAAAATCATGCTGAAGACAGTAAAAAAAGTATTTGGGAAAGATGCAGCAATAATGTGTAAATTAAGCAGTAAGAACTAACTCACTGTTCTTACCCTAAGCCTAACTATTGTTCTATTCATAACCATAATAACAAATCAAAAGCAATACGGACCGAAAACTCCTTTGTAGGCCAAACCTAAAGTAATTTTAAAAACAACTACTTGATCTATTCCTAACCCTAGTCTTGGATTCAAAGTCACAGCAATTAGTTCTAATACTATATGTATAGATCTACACTGTAACTACAATTGTAGCAGTAAATTTAAACATAATTTATGCATTTTTGTTTGCAACATTAACAAAATGCTACTTACGTAAACACGAGCATGGTGTAATGAAACAGCAACAGAAAACAATAGCAACAACCAGCAGACGACGAAACATCATTCACCGCTACTCCCAACACGTAAATAAACAAAGACTGTCCGTGTGTTTTTATAGTTGATTACCTGTCATAGCCCATCAGCTTTGTAGAATGTAATGGTCGTGATACATAGACATTTATTGTCTTTAGCTGAGCAATACTTTTAAAAGTAAGGAATGTGGGATTTTGCTCTCATTTTTTGTACTTTCTCGTATATACGAAGTATAAAGAAAGTCTGATAATCTTGCAAAAAAAAAAAAAGATTGAGATTTTAGAAAATGTCGACGTTTTACACCTCCCTGATTCGGAAAAACATAGTTTTACAATCTTGTCCGTATGTCTCTGTGTGTGTATGTGTGTGTGTGTGTGTCTGTATGTGTTTGTAAACACGATAACTTGAGTACCATTACAGCTAGGTTGATAAAATTTCATATATTAGTATTATATCAAAATCGTAGATCCGTAACAGCTTTTCAGCGATTTCCGATAACCTTTCAATTTTTCAAAAGCCTAATAACTTGAGTACTATTTCAGATAGATAAACGAAATTTAACATGTATGTAAAAAATATAATTGCTGCCTTCTGTAAAATTTTGAGTAATTTCCGTTGACCGGAAGTAGTAATTTACGCTATTTCCGATTTCAGAAAAAACCTATGTGAATTTATAAAGTACTAATAATATTCCGCACTATTATACACATTTTGCTAGGCGTTCACTAGGTGTGCAATTCCTTTTTTCTACGAGATTTTATTCTATTTTAAAAAGTTTAAGTAGGCTTATTTAAAATGGATTAAAAACCATGTCTATATCCCGAGTTACCATCCCCTGTTGTTTTATATAAGAATATTCGAGAAAGTTTAGGGGAGATCACTCCCGGTTTATTTATAACGAAATGGGATATATTTTCCCTTCAACGCAAACAGCGTGGTATAACATAAATAGATCAGCTCATATTCTTTCCCCGACCTCTACAAAGCATTATTTAAAATTGGTACTACAGACCATTCAAAAGTCTTTTTACAAAGTTACCAATGTTAATGTTCACTTTATGGAAGGCAGTAATTTTATAAGGTTTTATTAAATAATTTTATTTAGTTCACAATGGTTGTGTAGTTGTTGCTTTTTGTCTGCCATATATATTTTTTGTATACCAATAGATAAACCTCCTAAAATAGACCTAAATTTAGAGCTACGATCGAGTAGCTTTAAATACATGTTAAGCCGTCACTAAAATGACGAAGAAAAGTGAAGATCTTACCGATTAGCCAGTGGCGCAGCTACAATTTTCGGGCCCCTATGCACACCTCATCAGTGGCCGTTAGACTACAACGGAATTAAACATGGACAACGAAGGAATCGACTGCTGCTTTCAAGAACAGAGTTTTAAATAATGTACATTTTATAATTTTTACATCTCGATTGTGGATTTATACTGTACTGTATTATTATGTACTACCCCGTAAAGTAAAAGATATTTGATTTCATATCACTTTTATTTGAAAAGCAAATGAACTGTAAGCCTGTAACATATAAGTAACCAAACTCAGTGGCGTCAAGAGACGGTGGGTGTGGTCCACATTGAGTAACACCATTTAGGCTGTCACCATTTAAAAATTGAAAACCTTACAATCAGAACTATGTTTTATCAAGTTAAAACAATACAATACAAGGGAGGGGTTATATCCCACCAAAAATTTTCGATTGTTGAAGGGGGGGGGGGGGGTACGGTAAGGTTGACACCTTCAATAAACAAACAGGGTGACTATCGTTATTGTGATCACTAACCAAACACAATTTTTTTAAAAGTTGCTCATGATTCATTTAGATTTGTTTTTTTCCAGGCTTTTAAGCTTACAAAATAATTAATTAGTTCCTTAGGATCCACTTTAGATGCTTCTGTATGTTCAATACTGATGTAGGTCTAGTTCTTTAAAACTGAGATAGTTAAAATGCGAACGACACCGATACCAGATTTATCGGATCTTAGATGCTGGGGCGAAGATTTGTCCAAACTACTGTTTAGACGCCACCAGGGCGTCCAGTATGACACCCTTGAGAGTTTATCACCCACCGTAAGTACAGTACCATAGGTAGACGGGTACAATCCCTGGTTTGGTTAAAGATGGAATGTAGAGGACCACTGTGCCCCTAGTATGTTGTGCTCTAGTGCTTTGTGTCAGGTGTACGCATGAGGCGTAGGAAGAAACCCTTGTTTTATTTTGACAGTTGAATCAATTACTATCCAGTACTCTTCTTGACGCTCAATCAAAGGATCCCGTGCACCCAGGTAGCCGTTGGGTATCTTGGGGTGTCCAACCGTTACTTATGCTGAGGCACCGATGAACACCCCCTTTTTTGATTGAGCAAACGATTTTTAGTAGCACTCCATATTGTTAGTGTATGGCGCTCATTAAAAAATATAGGCGCCCTTGTGCTCATAAGGGAGTCCTAGGCGCACCGGGTTACGCTACCGCTGGGGTGCCGGCTGATGCGCCTGTGCACTTCGACAGTTGAATCAAGTAGTAACACTGACCCGCTGCGCAGGACGTTCAACCAACGGATCCCCTGTGCAAAGGGCAGTAAACCGCATCGCTTTACTGCCGGGGCGCCGCCTTCCGAAAAAATAATGGCAGATAGAGTCTCAGGAGTCAGAGTTTCTTCCGGTATTTCTTCAGAATAATGACTGGGAAAAGCCCTGCCAGGAGTATTCTCAACAACTACCAAAGTTTCTTTAGGATTAGATGTTTGATGAATAAAAGACAGAAAAACATAAATCTCATAGTGTAAGTAACGCAATATTGATTAGAGACAAATTAGATCAGCAAACAAAATGTCATTCATGTCATTAATGTTTAAACTATCACAAAAAACATTGACAAGCCAATGTTTAACCTGTTAAACTATCAGCCTTATAGATCGGGTCTTCACTGTCAATTCCTCTATGTGATCATATGTGTTGAATGTTTTATTTTGTCTAGTTAAAAGGAAAACATGATTTTTAAAAAAATCAACTTTTAATCAGTGAATCACACATCAAGTTACTTTTTATGTTTATTCTTTTAATCAGATTTAAGCTACAAAACGAGTCCGACGTAATCAAACCTATATCTCAACCATTATTTTTAACGCAATATTCCTCAAGGCAGATATTAATTTGTAGTTGAGCAGGTCAAGACGCCGGGCAGTTACATGGGTCCCCACCCCCGTGGTTGTTGTAGACCATGTTTGGGGGGAGGGGGAATCTGAAAAATATATCAAAGCAAAAACAGTATTAATACTCTTTTCAATGTTTACCTTTTCACAATTAAATGAGCCTAATCTTATTGAAACTCACTTTACAAAGTATGTACAAAACACTGTTCTTGTAACCCCAAGATAAGGTACTCCTAAAAGCTTCACACTAACCTCTACACTATTCTTGTAACATACACCACACATTAACCTCTACACTGGTTTTGTAACATACACCACACACTAACCTCTACACTGGTCTTGTAACATACACCACACACTAACCTCTACACTGGTCTTGTAACATACACCACACACTAACCTCTACACTGATCTTGTAACATACACCACACACTAACCTCTACACTGGTCTTGTAACATACACCACACACTAACCTCTACACTGGTTTTGTAACATATGCCACACATTAACATCTTCACTGGTTTTGTAACATACACCACACATTAACATCTTCACTGGTCTTGTAACATACACCACACACTAACATCTTTACTAGTCTTGTAACATACACCACACACTAACCTCTACACTGATCTTGTAACATACACCACACACTAACCTCTACACTGGTCTTGTAACATACACCACACACTAACCTCTACACTGGTCTTGTAACATACACCACACACAAACATCTTTACTGGTCTTGTAACATACACCACACACTAACATCTTCACTGGTCTTGTAACATACACCACACACAAATATCTTTACTGGTCTTGTAACATACACCACACACTAACCTCTACACTGGTCTTGTAACATACACCTCACACTAACATCTTTACTGGTCTTGTAACATACACCACACACTAACCTCTACACTGGTCTTGTAACATACACCACACACAAACATCTTTACTGGTCTTGTCACATACACCACACACTAACATCTTCACTGGTCTTGTAACATACACCACACACAAACATCTTTACTGGTCTTGTAACATACACCACACACTAACCTCTACACTGGTCTTGTAACATACACCACACACTAACCTCTACACTGGTCTTGTAACATACACCACACACAAACATCTTTACTGGTCTTGTAACATACACCACACACTAACCTCTACACTGGTCTTGTAACATATGCCACATTAACCTCTACACTGGTCTTGTAACATACACCTCACACTAACATCTTTACTGGTCTTGTAACATACACCACACACTAACCTCTACACTGGTCTTGTAACATACACCTCACACTAACATCTTTACTGGTCTTGTAACATACACCACACACTAACCTCTACACTGGTCTTGTAACATACACCACACACTAACTTCTACACTAGTCTTGTAACATATGCCACATTAACGTCTACACTAATTTTGTAAGAACAGCTACTAACAATATGCCTGACACTAACCTCTCTTTTAACCAGATTATGTATGGCAAGTTGCAAGCTTTCTCGGGGAAAAGATCAAGCACTGAGACGAACGATATGCCGTTACAGCTGAGGCTGATGGTGTATGCGGCCAACTCCTAGAAGTTACACATACTTATAAGTTATAGATAAACAGATTTTGTAGACTACCTTGTTTTCCGTTAGAAAAAGGTATGTTTGTTAAATTACCGCATAATCCCAAACATGCCTACTATTCCCCCTGTTAAACATATAGGTACATCCAGTGGCGTAGGCAGGGGGGTTAGAAGGGGTCATAACCCCCCATAGACCCCTCGGTATATATATAAAGTATGAGGGGGAGGGGTGCAAATCGAAAGTTTGAGGGGGGAGTGCAAATCGAAATATTGAGGGGGGGGGTGCAAATCGAAAGTTTGAGGGGTTGCAAATCGAAAGTTTGATGGGGGGTGCAAATCGAAAGTTTGAGGGGGGGGGTGTAAATCGAAAGTTTGTCCCCGGGTAAAAATTGGACCCCCCTCCCCTTAAGACGATCCAGGCTACGCCACTGGGTACATCGAAAAAAAAAACTCTCGCCATGTACTCAACAAATTGTACTTACGCCTAAACACTTTTGTCGATACAATTACAAAGATGTAAATTTTTAGTTTTTGTTGAACATATATGGCTGACTTAGACGTTAATCTGGTCTCACTCGGTCATTGAACTGGTCATAACATTACGTTAAACCTGACCCAGAATACGTTACAATGTCGTTACCAAGACGTTAAAAGAGCCACACAAAGTAGCTGAACCGGCACTTCAAGAATTTACCTTATTATATCTTGCAGAAAAAGTAATTGCGCACCAAATGAACAGCACTTACCTTCAAAGACTTACCTTACTATATCTCGTAGAAAAAATAATTGCGCACCAAATGAACAGCACTTACCTTCAAAGACTTACCTTACTATATCTCGTAGAAAAATTAATTGCGCACCAAATGAACAGCACTTACCCCATTATAGTGCCCAGTACAGTCCGGCCAGGATGCCACATAAGTGTTGAACTCAATTGATCTGAAGATGACCCCACATTCGTTCCTTGTTTGAAAAGATCCAACACCAAGTGCTGATAGCGACGTCAGGTTTACTTGACCACCCCTAGATGGAATATTTTGTTAACACAGGGGCAAGCTAGAATATAGAAAATTTGAATCCATTACGAAACCACTGCTGGAACTAGAAAAATAAAATGGGAGTGATCTCTCCTAAACTTTCTCGAATATTTTTATGAAACACTACGGGGGATGACAACTCAGGATGGCCATGATTTTTTATCAATTTTTAAATACTTAAACTTTTAAAAATAGAAACGGATCTCGTAGAAAAATTTATATGCGCAGCAAGTGAACAGCAAACAATGTGTGTATAGTAGTGCGGAGTATTAGTACGTAATAATCATATGCAATTTTTTGAAAAATCGGAAATAGCGTAAAGTACTTATTCTGGTCAACGGAAATTACTCAAAATTTGACAGAAAACAGAGAATTAGATTTTTTACTTATATGCGAAATTTCATCTATCTTATATGTACTACGTCATCAACTGTATGTACTAAATGAGCCATCAATTTCTACTACATCACCTACTTTATTTAATACATCATCCAACCACCTATATGTACCACATCATCCAGCTATATGTATTACATCATCCACTTACAGCACCACAGTGCTGTCTGTAATGTTGTACGGCTGTAGATGGACGAGTCGATCTGCATCAATCTTGACAGTGAGCACTTCCAGTCTATAAATAGCTCCATTCACTCTCTCACTAAACACGATTGTAAACCCGCCCTGAAAAACAATTGGTGAGTTCTTGTGAGATGTATACAGACATTTAAAAAAAACCAGGATGTTATAAGTGAAATTCGTACGAAACTATTTGTTTAGTGTTTATATAACTGAATTGTTTTCATTGATTCATATGAGCCGGATACAGATGCTACATACAGTGTTTCTTTCAGACTACCTTTTCCTGGGGAGGGAGCACCTGATATTTGGGGGAGGGGGGGGTGGAAACTGGTAAAGTATATTTTGTCTATATAAATTCCATTTCGTTTTAGGGGGAGGGAGTAGACTTCCTTAGGGGGATAGACGGAGTCTGCCACACCCCCCCCCCCACCTCCGAAGAGTTCCTTGAAGAAACTCTGGCTGCATACGTTGTTCGCTATTTAGAATAAAAAACGTGTTGATATTTTCTAAAGGGGAAATCACGGCGGGCCCAGCATGTAGACAGCATGGCTGCCACCTGATATCTCGAGTTCTGATAATGGTCTTGAATGAGATTCCAGTCAGCCTGTGTTAGGTTCCTGAGTAGGGTTAGGCAGTGTTACGTCCGGTTTTCGGTTCAACTCAGGAAAAGATTCGTAGTTAACTTCAATACTTTTATTTGGACTCACTTCTTCACATAACAGAGTAGCCCTCGCCCTAACCGCTACCAACTGACCATTTACAATCGTTCACTCCAGCTTTTATACCGCATTCGACCTTGGGATAACAATACATAAACACACCGGGGTTAACAATAATCTAGGGTAAACTCAACTCACACACGCACTCTCTCCTAATTCTAGATTATTCTAACCTATTTCTATCTAACCTACAACTGACCCGTGACAGAGCAGTGCATATTTAGACAACGCTGTTCCATTATATGCCCGGGGTACAAAAAACATGTGAACTCTACTTCACCTGCAATGTTGGTTCAAAAAGTTACCTTTTCTTTTTGTTTTAAATAAGGGATTAGAAGGATCAGGGTTAATTCCGAACATATTTTATCATGGGGAAAAAGTGTGCATGTGTTTGTGTGGAAAGAGGAGGGGGTCGACAATGATAAAATCAGCAAAAAACTGAAAAACAATTTGGAATTTTTTTTACTTTTTACGAAAATTAGGATAAAGAAAGTTCAAGCCAAACCGTAAAGTTCTCCATGGACTTGATTTGCACTGGCAAAAACTCAACCTCAATCAAATCCTGTGGACAGTCAGGGTCAAACCGCCCCGGGTCACCGCTGTTGCTGAAAGTTCCACTCAACAGTTGAAAGAATGTGCCCAGGATCGGTGACTGGCATTCTAAAGACGACACGCAGTTTTATTTACAAATTCCTTTGAGAAGGTAAGTGTTTGGTGTAGAAAATTATAAATTGTAGCAAAACAACAACAAAATTAAACCTGCTAATAAGACCTAACAGTAAAAGCCATTCTAAATACAATCAATGAAAAAGTTTGTGGAAAATACGCAATAATATGGTGTAAATTAAACAGTAAGACATAACTTAACGTAGTTACAATGTGTCAACCTTAAAGAAATTTAAAAATAACTATTTGATTTAATGCCGCAACAATCACAGTTTAAATACCAACGTTTTTATTTTCTCGTATACGGAGTATAGAGGAGGTATTGCAATCGAGAAAAAAAATCGAAACCGAGATTTTAACAGATCGACGTTTTAGAGTCTGAAAAACTTAATTTTGCGATCTTGTTTGTATGTCTATTTGAGTGTGTGTAGCTTGAGTACCGTTACAACTAGGTGGAAGTAATTTCATATATAAGTATTATATCGAATTTGTAGTCGTGTATTAACTTTTGAGCAATTTCCGGTAACCGGAAGTGTAACTTACTCCATTTTAGGTTTTTCAAAAGCCTGTACTTGAGTACTGTTTCTGATAGACGAAATTTCCCATATGAGTAAAATATATAGCTCTGTTTTCTGACAACTTCTTTTTAAAAATTCGGGCTACTGGAAGTAGCACTATTTCCAATTTCTCAAAAAAAAAAAACATTTAATGTACTAACCGTCCCTGCTCTGGCCTGTCTAAAAACCTATCTGTAAAGGATCATGGCGTGTGTTTAATTATTGGTATATACCCGGCATTGCCCGGGTTGATGAAATATATTACTTTTCTGAAAGCAAACACAAACACAAGCACACACGCAAACGGAAACACATAAAAGAACGCAAACACAAATACAAACTCAAACGCCAACATCAAAACAAACTATAAAAAAGTCAATATTTTCTGCTTTTTTGTAATTCCTATATCAATGACTGTAATTTAACAAAGACATGTAATTTGAAAACTTTTTTTTTTAAATTGGAATTTTTGTTGAGTGTATACAATTAGTTTATTTTTATTCTTTGCAAATTACTTCAATTAAAATGATAATTTGTAAAATAAAAAAAATTATTTTTAAGGTGAACAATATTGATTTTTTGTTATCTTTAATTTCGATTTTAGTCCAAAAATGAACACTTAAAAAAACTACACAATGGCGATAAAGTCGAGTTTTTTTTCTATATTCATGTCTTACACAATTCCACCACAGAGGCACCGAGTCGTTTTGAGCTTTATATATTAAAATAATGTTTCGCAGTATTATACACAGTTTATTTGCTGTTCATTTGGTGCGCAATTATTTTTTTCTATGAGATTCTATTCTATTTTTTAAAAAAATAAGTATTTAAACATTGATTTTTTCAATGACTATATTCCGACTGCACTTAGTTCCATCCCCATTTATTTTATTTCATAAAATTCGAGAAAGTTTAGGGGACATAACACCCGCTTTACTAGATCTACACGTAGATATTGAATATATCTACTCAAAACGTCAAATTTATTGCTGTATTTACAAACTTACGTAAACACTGGTACGGTGCAATGAAGCAGACCAGTAAACGATACATGGTTTACCCGCTTAGCCCAACACGTAAACACACACAAATTGTCTTATGTGTTTTTATTGTTGATTTCCTGTCACAGACCGTCAACTTTGTAGAATGTAATGGTCAGGATACAGAGACATTTATCGTCTTTAGCTCAGCAGGACATTTGTGAGAAAATAGTCAGTGATCGTGTTATTACAAAATGTGTGGTTTTTTTAACTTTCACTACTACCAATCGATACAAAGCACAATAAAACATTAGTACCATAATATATTTACATTTCTTAATACCAATTTTGCAAACGTTGATTTTTAATCTATGGAGGTCTGCATTTTTAATAAGGTTTTAGTATATTATTTCACAATGGCTGTATATTTTTTTTTTGTCCGTGGGTTTGTGGCTAATTTAATGAGTTACTTTTGGCGCACTTTCAGATGGACCAACTTTGTTTGAACTTTCCAAATGCGTTCGTCTGTCAAGACAATGCAAAAGTATTTTATTTTGAATCAAATTTAGAATTAAATTAGTCATTAAAGGATTACTAAATTCATTAGTAAAAGGGAATATGACAGCTTTATTCTCCAGGGAACGCTCCGTCTGCCTAAATTAACTAATACGAGCCGACCCGCTGCGTATCATACGCCGCTATTTAGTTGTTTTTTTTTCTACTTTTCAGTAATTTATAATTTGTGAATTCGACAGTACCAATGCTGCCACTGAAAATATTTGCTTAAAAACACTAACCCCCCCCCCCCCTCCCCACGTGAAAGCAGCCTCCTCTTAGTTACCTCCTCTAAGTTTAAAATCGTTTCAAACTAAATTATCTGCCCCCAATAGCCGTCACCAAACCCGTCTCTATGATTGTAAAATGTAAACAGCGTGACCACAGCTCACCAGACAATGTGGGGGTGGGGTGGGTGTGGTAGTGATAGTGATAGAGAGAAAGAGAGGGGACTGCAAGGAGGCGCTTGCAGCTTGTTTAAAAGTTTTCTAACGGCTCCCAGAAGAGAATTATATATATAGATTAATGAGATACCAAAACAATTAGGCTTTTTCTTTTATGCTATAAGAAAAAGCTCCTAAACTAGACATTCATCGGTTTGATAGCTACATAACAAATTTCATTGATTTTAGAGCAATGATCGATTACCTAAACAATGACGAGCCGTCGCTAACTCGACGTCGAAAAGTGAAGATCTGACAGGTGAGCTTGTTGGGTCATCAGGTTATTGACATGTTGTCATTCGACGCTGGTTGGTTTAGTCGTGCTGTGTTTTTGGACAGGGTGGTGTGTCTCTATAGGGTGAGATTGGATGGTGGTACAGTTATGCGCTGTGTGTTTGGACAGGGTGGTGTGGTGTGTTTTTGGATAGGGTGGTGTGGTGTGTTTTTGGTGTGCTGTGTGTTTGGGCAGGGCGGTGTGCTGTGTGTTTGGACAGGGTGGTGTGGTGTGATTTTGGACAGGGTGGTTTGCTGTGTATTTGGACAGGGTGGTGTGGTGTGTATTTGGACAGGGTGGTGTAGTGTGTGTTTGGACAGGGTGGTGTGCTGTGTGTTTGGACAGGGTGGTGTGGTGTGTGTTTGGACAGGTTGGTGTGCTGTGTGTTTGGACAGATTGGTGTGGTGTGTGTTTGGACAGGTTGGTTTGCTGTGTGTTTGGACAGGGTGGTGTGGTGTGTTTTTGGACAGGGTGTCGTGTCGTTAGAGTGAGATTGGATGCTGGTACAGTGATGTGCTGTGTTTGTGGACAGCGTGAATTGTCGTTAGGGTGAAAGTGGATGCAGTATCGCGTTGGTATTACTGAGATAGACGTTGAAGAGAGTTTAGGCGGATGGGGTGGTGGTGAGGATGGGGGTGCGGGGCGCGTTTTGTGGCATCATTCACATAGGTAACACAAAAGTAATTATATCTAATTTTAATATCTGTATATGCAGATAGCTTAAGAGGTAATGAATTCTATTTTCATCACTATGCACGGGGGGGGGGGGCACTATCCGAGATGGAGGGGGGTACAACACCACATTGCCTATCATTATTCTACATAATATATATATTGTTGTTGAGGGAAGGGGTGGCTGAAATTCTCGCGTTCGTATCCATAGCTCGATTCAGTAGGGCGTCCATGAGTTTACCCAGCTCTGGTGGGTACCTGACTTAAGTTAGGGAAATAAAGTCGGCTGGGCATAGTACTGACAACGTTTTGCCTACACATGCCGAGGGTTACTGAAACAGCCTACCTCTACATCACCTGCCTCATGTTCTAGCTGGTGCTTAACTTGTATATACTTTCGTTAGCGATGGGAGGGGGTATAGTGACGACACTGACTTTTTAAACTCTGATTTTGAGGTAAAAACTTTTATATGAATTTATAACTATTAATTTTCTAATAAACGCTTTAAAAGTATATACTTTGGGTTTATAATATTTCACAGAGGTCGCTGTTAATATTTAAACAAATATAATTAACTAATTTGTGTGATAAAATTGTTTAATGAACGAAGATAGTCCGTCGTAAGACCATAAACTACATATCTAAAAAAAAACAAAGGCCCTCATAGTATGAATCGATTTAAATATAGAATTATTTTCATGATACTATATCATAACTGATTCATTTAAATCAGGGGTTCCCAACCCCGTGCCCGCGGGCGCCATGGCGCCCGCCGAACGATTCGTAGGTGCCCGCCTCTCACTATTTGACAGAGACAGAATTTTTTTCATAAACATTATTGAAAGGTTGAAGGGGATGGAAATCGAAAGTTTGAGGGGGGGGGGGGTGCAAATCGAAAATTTGAGGGGGGGGGGGTGCAAATCGAAAGTTTTGTCCCCGGGTGACGGGAAGGGTCGCTACGCCTCTAGAAGGAGTTAGTCGATTTAAAATAGGTGGTGTGCCCGCCACCCTACCGATATTTTAGAATGTGCTCTAGAGTAAAAAAAGGTTGGGAACCCCTGATTTAAATCAACAGGTGTGTATGTGTGTGAGTGGCGCAATGTGTGCCTGTGTGTGTGGAGGCGGGGAGTGGGGATTAAACTGGTGGTGGTTGGCTTTTTGAACGCTCTAAAAATAACATTTTATTTGATTTTTATCGACTCCTTATCTCAAACTGTGGAATCTGGGGCAGGCAAATTTCGCTATAAAGCACAAATGGGTAAAATTTTGTCAGTAGAGATAGTCAAATAGTGTTTGGAGGGTTGGTTCATCGTTCATAACTGGGAATCAAATATTTTATGAACGGGCATTAGGGTCCCTGTTTCTTTTTGATACTTCAGATTTCTCATACTTTATATTTCTCATACTTCAAATTAATTTTTCATTCTTAAGATTTAAGAGACCTGAATGAGCAGTGTAGTTGGTTGATACTATCATAGGCACTGACCACACATTTAAGGGTATGAACACAATCAAAAGGAATATATTCACATCTTAATTGTCCATAATGCAGATGTTTGCAAACAGATGGTCATTGCACCACCATTGAAAAAAACGTAAGGAATTTGGGAGGCTACCTAGCCCAACCTCTCACTTTTCTTTTAGCAAAGACATAAAATTATAAAATGAAAAGTGTAACGCTATAAAAATACTGATTTTCCTATACACATAAGCGAAGAACATAGAACATAGAACTTTGTTATAAGTATATATATATATATATATATATATATATATATATATATATATATATATATATATATATATATATGTATATATATATATGTATAAATTATTATTTTTACAAGCTTTTATTTAACTCACTTCCTCTGTCTGTCGTCAGTCTAGATCGAAACGCCGGGCACTTCTAACTGACAGATACGGTTCGTAATTGGTACGTGGGTCAAGACATGAAGATAATGCATTATGTTTGGACCAAATTAGTAGGCATCACGTCCGTGTTGGGCGTGGAGCGAGGGGGGGGGGGGGCTCTACGTCAAAAGCCCGTCATCACGTTCAATAGGCGCACGATGGTTTTTAGTCGGGTTCTCTACCACTAGACTACGCCATCCCATAATATTTTACTGAAACTTTAGCAATAAACCTTACAATGGTTTTTAGTCATGTAACTATTGTAAATAAAACATGTAAAGTACTGAAAAAAAAATTCACAAAAAAAAAAAAAACCTTTTAATAGCAAGCTTTTATGTAATAATGCACTAAAAAGTAGAAAATAAATTATACACTACTATTTAAATAACCATTAAAGAAAAGCGTGGGTCTCTTCCTTAATATTATACACTACTATTTAAATTGCTATTTTTAATTTTTAATTTTTTTTCAGTAATAATAATTTATTTTATAGATTTTACACAGCATCAAAGACATGAACATCAATCGCATATATAATAATCAAAGGGAGAAAATAAAATGGCATAAGAACTAGACTAAAATGAGATGTCAAACTAGGTTTCTCTTGACTGCTTAGTTTACTGTGCTCCGTCCTTAGCTGCGGAGTCAAAAGTTCACTTTGTAGCCACCCATGGACAGAAATAGAAACATCAGGGAGAAGTGTCTCTCCACATATAAGGAATAATAAACCCATGAATCATACGGATGAAGTATTGTTTGAAAGGCACTTTCATTTGTGTTTTTTCAATCAGGTAGTTAACTATTGTATGGTGTCTAGTTTTGTACATCTAAATTGTTATTATAAATTCGTACAACGTTAACGTTGACCGTAAGTAAAACAGCATTAATATTGGCTATAATTTAAATCTAAAAAAATTAAGTTAAAAAATATTTTTTATTTTGCTACTATTGAATTGACTTGAATTCAAAGTGACTTTTCGGAGAAAATTAAAGGTTACCGCCCTTGATTATTTTGAATAATTTGTAAACATATCTTTATTCGTTGATGTAATAGTTTTATGTATCTGTCCCACGCTTGGTTCCTGGTTGATATTTTGTGTCACATGTAAAGTCTTCTTATGGAGAGCTTTTAATATTCTGATACATCTGACTTGTGACGGGCGTTTGGGCCAGATTAGAAAAATCTGCATGGTCACGGCGGTTTTTGATTTAAAAAATAATAATTTGAATGATTAAAGAGAATGTTAGTTGGAAAAGATTTATTTAAATGGTCAATGGAGAA